AGAGAAAGTCAAATACTGTATGTTCTCACTCATATGTGGAATCTAAAAAGCTGAACTCCTAGGAGTAGAGAGTAGAATGGTGGTTTCCAGGGGCTGGGGGATGGGGAAAATGGGGAGATGTTGGTCAAAAGGCACAAAATCTCAGCTAAAATATGAATAAATTCTGGGCATCTACTGTACAGCATGGTGACTATAATGAATGATACTGTATTATATACTTGAAATTTGTTAAGAGAATAGGTCTTAAATATTCTCACCACAAAAAAGAAATGGTAATTATATGAGGAGATGGAGGTGTTCCTTATTGTGGTAATCTTTTTGTAATATATATGTGTATCAAATTATCATATTGTAAATCTTAGACTTACATACGTTATATGTCAATAATATCTCAGTAAAGCTGGGGGAAAATGTGAAAAGCATAGTTTAAACAAACAACAAGATGCACCTATCTGCTGTCTACAAAAGATGAACTTTAAATGTGCATTCACAAATAGGTTAAAGGCTAAAAGATGGAAAATAATATATAAACAATACTATAAGAAATCTGGAGTGACTGTACAAAACACAATTTAAGATAGAGTTTTACTAGAGAGAAAGAGGGGCATTTCTTAATGATAATAAGCAATACATAAGGAGGATATAGGAATTCTAATACTGCATGTGCCTAAAACACAGCCGAAACAGTCAATGAAATAAATTTGACTATACGGAAGAGAGAAGAAGATAAACCCACAATCATAATCAGAGATTTTTAACATCCTGTCTCAGTAACTGATAGAACTAGACAAAAAATAAGCAGGCATATAGAAGATCTGAACAACACTATCAACCATCTTAATCTAAATGGCATTTATAGACTACAACTCCAGGCAGCTGCAGAATATACATTCCTTTTACATGCATCAGGAATGTATACCAAGGTAGAGCATGTATAGGGACATAAATTAAGGTTCAATAAATTTCAAAAGTTTGAAATCTTACAGAGCATATTTCTGATTACAATGAAATTATATTAGATATCAATTGTAATAATAAAACTAGAAAAGCCCCAGTTATTTGGAAATAAAACAGCATATTGCCAAATAATTCATGGTACAAATAAGAAATCAAAAGGGAAGATAGACAATATTTCAAATAGAAAGAAAATGAAAATACAACATAGCAAACTTTGTGATTGGCAGCTAAAGCATGCTTGAAAGGAAATTCATAACTATAAGTGCTTATATTACAGAAAGAGAATGAGTAAAAATAATTGTTATGTTTCTCTCTTATGATCCTAGAAAAATAATACCAAATTGAATCCAAAGTAAGTAGAACGAAAGGTAATTATAAAGATGAGAACAGACATCAACGAAATGAAAAACATAAAAACAACATAAAAAGTGTACTAAGTCAAATCTTGGTTTTTGAAGAGGTTAATAAAATTGATAAAACCCAAGACTGACGAAGAAAAAAAGAGAGAGAAAAGCCAAATAACCAATATTAGGCATGAAGGAGCAGATATCCCTATAGATTCTACAGATATCAAAAGAGATATAGTATGCAAATACATTAGACAAATGAGATAAAATGTACTTAAGAAACAAAACAATAAAAACTAACACAAGATGAAATAGAAAATCTGAATAGCCTTATATCTGTCAAAATAATTGAAGTTATTATTAGAAACATCTACACACAAAAAAAAAACCCAGGCTCAGATTAGTTAACTCGTGAATTCTATGAAACATTTCAAAAAGAAATAACAATTTTACACAAGCTCTTTCAGAAAATAGAATAACTCTGATACCAAAACTTGCCAAAGGCATTCTAACAAGAGAAACACAAATCCAAACATATTGTATCAAATATTAGCAATTTGTATAGAGCAATACATAAAATAGAAAATACATTATGACTGAGTGGAATTATCATAGCAATATAAGGTAAAAATATTCCATGTAATCCTCCATATTAACAAAAAACAAGATTAATATTGAAAAATTATATTTCATAAAAATTAAAAATTTCTCCTCCTCACAAGATACCATTAAGGAAGTGAATAGGCAAGCTGTAGGCCAGATGCCATGTTTGTCACGGTCCCCATGTTTCCTATCAAAACCACAAGCACAGCTGAAGCACAATTCTGTAAAGGCATGGTAGTATCGCTCTGCCTGATTCTTCCACACCTATGTGACTCCCCAAAACGCTTGCCAACATGGACTCCTAAATGCTCAGTCTCCAAATTTCACTTCAGAAATCAAAAAGAGTGTCTGAAAGAGCCTCAGAAGCCTGCCTCCTTACAGGAGTCATAACTGACCATCACTTGTTGGCTACTGCATGGACTGCAAAGTCTGATGACCTGGCCATAGAGAATTGCTAACCCTGGCATGGTTCACCCACCTATTATGGCCTCTTGATACCTTTAATGAATTGCTTTGTTGTGCTGTTCAGTGAAGTATCCAGGAGACTATGTTTTATGCTACAAACAACAGTTACAAGTCAAAAAAAGCAGTTTGTAAAAATTAGCTATTTAACTAACATGGTATGATCTTAGTGTAATGATTAATTCCCTAGCATTACCCACCATAGAGGCATTTGCTGTAGGATGAAGGGCACTGTAATATGAGAAATCAGTGCCACGGACAAAGAGATACTTCATTTTGGGGTGGAGTGTTGGTAGCAATGTTGGTGTTACCGTTATTAGCTGAGGGGAATCTCCACTGGCAGTTATTGGGGAGAGGCTTACTTGTCAATTCCAAGGAATAGTAGAGTAAGAGTTGGGCTTGGCTAATGCTAGGAGAGTTTCATGGCTCTCTATAACAAATCACAAATTTGTGGGGTGAACATTTTGACAATGAGTGATCTGTAAAGATGATATTTAATGAGCGTTATGTGGCAAGAAAAGGCTTCTTGGATTTATACAAGCACACATTCCAAAGAGCTGTAAACTCAATCCCAATACTATTATTTTCCTTCTCAGAGTACTCCTGTGTAGCAGGCACAGGCCAAGCTGGGTCCTTCTGCTTTGACAAATGGTGGAAAGCAGAGAAAGAGATGTCAGTAGGCAGTGGGGAGCCAAGAGGAAACCAGCGTACGGACTGTCTAGTTCTCTATTCTAACTCTGACTTCTTATCTTTGTAGCACTCTTTTGTCTCTCCATGAGGTTTTAGCAGGGTATGGTTTTCAGAGCAGTGGTCCAAGCACCCGGCAATCACATGAGAACGAGGCCCAGCTGCACCTTGGGGAAGCATGCTTAAATAACTGGCATATATAGAAGCAGATATATGCAGCTATTCATTAAGAGTACTCAGTGCCAGGCACTGTGCTTAACTGCAGTTTACAGGCATAAATTGACTTAACCCTTGTGAAAACCCAAAGACAGAGGAACTCTTTATTATTCCCATTTTACAGATGAGGAAACTGGTGCTCAGAGGGAATAAATTAATGTCCAAGATCACATGGCCAGTAAGTGGTGAACTGCTGTCTTGAACCCAGTTCATCTAATTCTGTTACTCAGGTTATCCAGACAGCCTCTCACCAGCCCTCTGTAAAAAGGCTGAGAGGCAGCAGAGGGTGGTCTTTGAGCAACTTATGAACAAGTGAAAGCCTCAACTGTTGACGCTCAGAGGGGAGAGTGAATAGTTACCGTACATAAAACTTCATCTCAGATTTCTACAAAATATAATATGACACCTATTTTAACTTAGTACCATGCATGAAAGTGTTTATAAGAATTGTATTTTCTTTTGAGCTCATCACTTGGAACAGATTTACATAGAATATACTTATACCTTTTATAACACTTATTCAACCACTTACAACTCTATGGTGCTCTGTCAAATGCGTGATCATTAGACTCATGGGTGTTTCATCTGAGAATGAGATTGATAATTGTATTTACAATGGAATATATTAACAAATAAATCCATTTATTAATACTTAATAACCATTAAGAACTGCTTGAATTGCATGCCTTAGGCCAGAGAGTAGCTTATATATAATATAGTCATGTTTTGCATAACGGCGAGGATATGTTCTGAGAAATTTGTCCTTGTGTGAACATCATAGACTGTACTTACACAAACCTAGGTGGTATAGCCTACTGCACACTTAGGCTATATATTACTCATCTTATGGGACCACCGTCATGTATGCAGTCCGTTGTTGAGCAAAATGTTATTATGCAGCTCATGACTGTATTCCTATTTATGTGTCAACAAAAAGAGGACTGAAGGATATATTCCACAGGAAGAATCACAGCACTATCTAGCTAATAATCTCTGCCTCAAGTCCTTTTTTGGAATGAGGCAGAGTGTAAATAAATAATAAATGAAATCCACATGATGATAATTTCTCTTTTGTATACTTGTTTAATATTTCCTTCATTAATCCTCAATCTTCAGGTAAGCTCCTCTGCCCTATTAAGTTCATGCCAATTGCTATGCAGCCCTCTCATCCCCTTTGTTGTCACCTTTTGACCTTTAGGACTTTCCTGTCACGAATAAAGCTTTCTGTACCTCAGTCATCACCTTCAGCTCCACCTCAACTAGCACCATCATTCTGGGAATTCAACACACCCAGGAGGACTCCAGCCAACTTTCTGACCGCACAAGGCCTTACTTCCTCAGAGTCAATGAGGGAGTCTTCTTTCCCCCACCACCTCAACGGGGTATGCCCACCAGGGCCACTGCGCACACTGTTACCGTTAGAAACCGCTCCTCTGAAATCACTGATTCAAGCGCCCCACACTGACCACATCCTCTTTCCCTCCAACTCTCTATGGAATTTCTTCTCTTGGATGTCTCACTGACACCTTCCACTCTATAGGACTAAAACTGAGAAGAAGGAGCCAGAAGCACGCGCATAGATGTAAAATCTTTAATAGCATGTGCAGGTGTTAGCAGCACAGGGCTCTTTCTGCTGTGAGAGGTTTGGGCGCTGGATGAAGCTGTGTGGATTTGTTCCAGGCTCTGGAACCCAGTCATCAGCAGTTCTTCCTGAGTTAGAATATTTCATCAACCTGAGAATTGGTTGTCATCCTCAAAGAGGTGGCTGAGCTGCTCGGCGTTATCTACTGCCCTCCGGATCCTGCGGTTGTTGTGGGATTCGTTGCCCACCAGCTCCAGAATGTTGTTGGTCACGTATTTGCGAATGGCAGAGAGGAAAACCGGGGTGGACAAGCTGAGTTGTTGGGCAGAGTGGTTTTCCTGCTGGTGGCGGTCCATATGGCTCACAGGGAAGTGCAGCTTGGCTTTTGTGGAGCAGGAGAATGTCTGCTTCTTAAGCCTACTGGAGTTCTGACAGCTTCTCTTCTCAGACATGGTGTTTTGGTCTGATTGGCCTAGCTTGATTGTCCAGCTGGCCTGAGCCTCTCAAGACACCAGACACCAGTGCTCATTTCCACTCACTCCAGCCACTCATTGGTCAGGGGGCAGCCTTTGTGACACCATAGATATTGGGATGTCATTGCTGTCCACTGGGTCCTGATCAGGCCTCGGCCTAGAAATGTGTGTGTTAGGAACTTGGGCATCCTAATGACTAGACCAGAATGTGACACCAATATCCCCACTAGAATGGCTGATAATACCTAATGTGAATGAGGATGTAGAGCAACTGGAACTCTCATGCATTGTTGGTGGAGTGGAAAAAGGCTACAATAACTTTGGAAAAAGTCTAACAGTTTCTTATGACCTAGCCATTCTTCTTCTGGGTATTTATTCAGGAAAAATAAAAATATATCTCCACACACACACACGATATGCACCAGAATGTTTATATCACTTTTATTCATAATAGGCAAAACCGGAAATAGCTCAGGTGTTCATCAACAGAAAACTGGATAAACAAAACATAGCATATTCATACGTTCAGCAATAAACAAAACGAACTACCGATGCACACAATAATATGGATGCATCTCACAGGTACTATGCTAAGTGAAGAAGCCAGACACAAAAGAGTACATAATGTCTATGTATACGTCTATTTATGTGTGTGTGTATATGTGTGTGTATGTGTGTGTGTATCTGTATATGTATGTAAGTTCTAGAAGAGTCAGAATTCTGGTTGCCTCCATGGTGGGGGAGGGACAGGATTGATTGTGAAGGGAACTTTCTGGATATGGGTGTGGATTACATATATGTATGCATTTATTGAAATTGTGCAATTGAAATGTGTGCATTTTAACGTATGCCATTTTTACCTATAAAAGAAGTGTACAAATATAATAATCAAATAGCTTGGGAAGTAGGAGGGAGATACAGATGAAACAAGAATGGCAGAATGTTGGTACTTGTTTAAGCTTGGTGATGGGGACATGGGGTTTCATTATATTATTTTGCTTATTTAGTTTTATGTTTGAAATTTTCTGTAATAAAAAGTGAAAAAAAAGAAAGAAACATAGGACAAAAGAATGAAAGAAAGAAGGCAACCATTATTAATCCATCACAGTATCCTTGTCTAAGAATCCTCGTCAGTCCATTAGTGTGATAACATCTATTTTCCATCCTTGGCCTGTAGCATATACGCCTGAGTTTGTTAAACACACACACACACAGAGAAAAAAACTAAAATGACTTACTCCAATATATTAAAGTGCTTAGCTTCAGGTGGTAGGACTATGAGTGACTTTTACCCTTCCCATATTTTTCTGCATCTTCCAAATATATAATTATGAATATGCATTTCTTTTGTAATCGAAAAAGTACTCTATACAAAAATTTTAAATATCATTTTCATTGAATTTCTCCTGTATTGTTATTATGGTTTCAAAAATTCAACAGGCTTTACCATATTATCATTCTCAGGAAAAGCAATGCTGCTAATCGTATTATTTGTTAGCAAAAAAGCTTTTGCCAAGGTATGAGCCTCCAGGGTACTTTTTTTTGCAGAGATAAAAATGCAATACTGCACAGGAGATCTGCTTATTAGACATTGGGCACGCTCTCTGTAGAACCGAAATAACTCTTCAGAAATTTCCTGCCAAATTCACAGCTAAACTGTTATGCAAATGTAACTGCATCTAAATTAAAAGTGCTGAGATGATACAGCCAACAGACTTTGAAGTATGATTGCTTTTGGTGGTGTAGGCAGAAAGGTTGGGATGTTTTAAAGTAAACAAGATGTATCACACTCTATTTTGTTTCCTATTTGGTTGGGGGTTTATAGTATACAGGAAAGAAAAAACAATAAAAATAAAATAGCGTGAAGGAGAAAGGAAAGGATAGGATTAAGTGTTTGAGGTAAGGGCATCTAAGCCCTCATAAAACAGAACAAAAAATTGGACATGAACTTAATTGCAGGCAGATCTGTAAGCCTTAGAACTATACATAAAAAAGGGATAATAACTTTTGTATTATATATGTTAAAGTCTCATTATTTAATTTCTTATGTTTATGTCTTGTCTCCCTAAATTGATTTTAAAATAGCTGGCTCTCAAGAGCAGAGAATCTATCTTTTACTTCTAGCTATTTGTCATTGGCCCATAAGCTCTAACAGGGCATAATATCTTCTTTATAATTATACACTTAGAACCTAGTTCAGTGCCTGAGACATAGCAGGTACTCAATATTTGTTGAATAAAAGGATGATTATTTCTAATAGCATTTTATCTGGTGCCTTGCCCATAGTAGAAGTTCAGTAGATATGCATCGAAGTAGTTATCCATTAATCCATTTATTCATCCCATGAGTATTATATTTTTTAATTTTTTTAATTTATTTCCCCCGAAAGCCCCAGTAGATAGTCGTATGTCATAGATGCACATCCTTCTAGTTGCTGTATGTGGGACATGGCCTCAGCATGGCCGGAGAAGCAGTGCGTCCGTGCGCGCCCAGGATCCCAACCCTGGCCACCAGCAGCGGAGCGCGCGCACTTAACCGCTAAGCCACGGGGCCGGCCCTCCATGAGTATTATTAAGTGTCTGCTATGTGCCAGGTATTTTTCTAGGTGCTAGAGACATGGCATTGAACAAAGTAATATCCCTGCTCCCATGGCACTTACATTCTAATGAAAAAATTACCATCTACACAACATAGAATATAATTTTTAGTTTTCATTAACATAAGTGACAACTTTCCTCCATTTTAAATGTTATAATACTAAGCAACACCTGAGTGCACTGGGTCAACATTTCTATGGCACTTCGAGCTGGTAGGTGAATATGATTAAAAGTGGTTTAAGGTGACAAGTATAAGCATACATAATCATTGCAGTTGGAGGACTTTCCAAGACAGCACATGAAAACTGCTACAGAATATAGGGTTCTTGAAGACTGCATCCTATGAACCAGGAGAGAGAGAGTTTCCAACAGAAACAGAGATTCCTTTTATTGACAAAGATGAATTGTTCCACTATGACTCTGCTCTTTCTATTTCCTGGCTAGTCGAGATCAATCAATATTCCTTAGACAGCATCCATTTAAGGCTCTGGCAAGTGTTATTTTTTAGAGGCCGTTCTTTAAGATTCTCATTAATGAAAAGCAGTACTGTGGCATCTATCGCCACTTCCACTCTGTTTGCTGGCCTTGCTCCGTCTGGTCCTGATATTACAAACAGCTGAAATCAGTACATTGTGATATTGTGCAAGTGTGCTCTGGCAGATTGAGCTAAGAATAGTGTGCATTGGGTTATTTCACTTTATTTGGTGTATAGATGAATTTGGCTTTTTTTAATTAAAGAACTTTGTGGACATTTAAAAATATCTCTGCGTTAGAATGGTCTTTCCTTGTGAAGGTTGAATATTGTAAACACTAGTCTGCGGACAATTTTAAACTTGCTGGGTTTAAAACTAGGAATTCAGGGAGAAAGAAAAAAGAGGACATCGAGAACGCAGATATTAGTGTTTTTTCATGATGTTCTTTTGGATGAGCTGCAGAAGATGGGCTGGATGCCCAGTAGAGCTTGGTGGATTCAGCCCTGGTCGATTTAATGTAGGCAAAAGGTGCTGATTATGGCTCACTGCAATCCTGGAGAGAACTTCCTAGTGTCACACTGCAGAGCTGGAAATTTGGGCTTGCCCTGTTCAATAAGTTTTTTTTGTTAATTTTATCGAGGTCACATTGGTTTATAACATTGCATAAATTTCAGGTATACATCATTATATTTCATCATCTGTACAGACTGCATCGTGTTTACTACCAAAAGTCTAGTTTCCATCTGTCACCGTACACATGTGCCCCTTTACCTCTTTCGCCATCCCCCACTCCCGACTCGGGGGTGACTCGGAGGAGGACATTCACGACATATATATAAAATCTACTTCTCACTAGAATTTGGTAGGGACAGTGAATATATTATTATGACATAATTGGGATCCTTAAAGATCTCTCTAAGCTAGACTCATCTGAATCTAAAAGATGAACCTTGATTGATATAAATAAATATAAAGTTTTATATTTGTGTTGAAAAAAGCCAGTTCTTATTTTAGGGGAATTCTTAGTCAAAGATCAGGGGACACTTTTCCTTCCCAGCCCCTAAGTTGATTAATTTATTATTTTCATAAGGCAACAAGCAAAAGATGTTGAACTCCAAAAGAAAGTTAAAAGACTTTTTCAACAAAAGGTAATAAAGATAATGTTAAAGAACAATTAGTTTTTATGTGTAATGCTTTTTCAACCCTATGCTGGTAATGTTTTTTTCTTTTTTAAAAAAAAAGTCTGAAAAGTGTAAATTTTGCCCCTCTTCACTTTCTCAGGAGAACCAAGCGCCTTGAGCAACACCTGTTTATTGCATTTTAGGGGAGAGTACACCTGACTCCTATAACCAAGAAGATTGATAGTCTTAATGTCTAATCACAAATTTTTCTTTCTCGTTTGAGACTTGGAGAAGTGGGCTGCTTCTGTAGTTAAAAAATTACAAAGTAACCAACATACATATTGCCTCAGGACAGAAAGCAAGTTATAACATTTTTGCAGAGCGTCTCATGTTTTATTCCCTTCCCTTATAAAGCATGAAATACATAAATTATCATTTGGAAATAGAGTGATCAAGTATAGTAATACCACTCTCTAAGAATACGAATGAGAGTTTATTAAGCCTATTTTTTAAAATAGTCACATGAAAAATGGCAAAAAGCTCCTGGCTTTTGAAGGACAGTATTTTTCAAATGTCTCCTGGCACAGTACTAAAAGGATCATACTTGAAAAAAAACCACATAGGTTTTTCATTTACTAAAAGTAGAAACGAGTAAAGTATAAAATGTAGCTTCCAAAAAAGCTAGCGTAGCTTTGGTTTCATTAATCAAAATGGAATGTCCAAGGAAAAGAGGTAATGGTTCTGCTTTGCTATATACTAGTCAGGCCATCCTTGTGTACTGTTCTGGA